TTATTAATATTATTAATATTATTAAAAAAGGTTAAAATAACTAAAATCTAGCTTATCTTAAAAATTATTAAATTTTAATAGCTTTTTAAAATAAGTTATAAAGGTATATTAATATTAAAAGCCCTTTTTTAATAAAAAAAAAAGCTATTTATTAGTATTATTAAAAGGCCCTTAAAAGCCTTATTATAATTATTAAAATAAAGCTATTAAAAGCCTTTAAAAAGCTTATATTATTACTTATTAAAGCTAGACTTTTAATAACTAAATCCCTTAATTATTAACTTTCTAGGTAATTAGCTAGATAATAATTAATATCTATAAAAAGGGCCTATTTTCCCTCCCTAGATAGCTTTAATAAAAGGATAATTCCACGCTTCAATCTAGTCTATAGCTGTTAATCGCGATACAAGACAAGCCTAGGGCTGTCTCCCCCTTTCTCAGCCTCCAGCATGGCCTCATAGGCTGCGTAGACTATTTGTTCCTTGCGACTCTCATCCTCCCGAGTGGAATTTCGCTCTTCCTGCTGCTGTGCTGCATCTTTCGGTCTGTGCGTTGTTCCTTTAACTCATAGTAGTAATCGGCATCTGATCCTGTATACGAATGTTCTGATTCCTCGTCATCACCTGAGAGGTAGCATTCGCAGTCGTCCTCATCGTCACATGTACATTCGACATCTGAGCCATCGGATTCGTTGCCTTCATCCTCTCCTAACTCTGATATGTCTTCGTCAAAGTCCCAGGGTTCAACATCACGGTCCTCTGTGATGGTAAGGATGACTAAACGACGGTACCAGGCTGGGAGTTCCCTTGTCGTACGGCGATGACGTGAAGATGAGGTGGGTTGGTTTTGTTTCATTTTGTTGCGTTTACAACAGCAATTTGCGCAGTGGAAAATGTTGACATTTTTGGAGGCTATTTAGGGCCTCAATTGATAGCTTTGTATTGGTGATGATGATGAAAGAGCTGAGATGAGTGATGAAAAATCCTGCAAATTTGGCCCCTTTCGTGCCCGGTCGGGTCGGGGGCCCTTGCAAGCCCCTTGGCACGGCACGGGACCAGACCCCTGATGATAACGAACATTGAACCCCCAGGTGCCGTCAACTTCAATTTGACTCATGTCCGCACAGTGCTGGTGTCCTGCTCGATCCACAGGCCGTGTGAGAGTATTCAAGATGCCATTTGCCAAGCTTTGAGAATGGAGGATATGCCGATAATCGAATTATCTCTCACGTGACGCACCCTGATGTGTCTATATTTTCACGTGCATCCACCATTCTCTTTGGGCCCTGCGTTGCTGAGGACGAAACTCCAGGCGAAGACATACATTAGCAATCAAGGAGCCGGACATGTTTAAAAGTAGAAAAATGTTTATTGTTTCCTTAAACGCATCAAATTCTGGTATATAAAACCCGAGGATAAAATCCGGGATCAAAACTCCATCAATCGTGACCATCGTGTGCATTGCGCATTTCTCCTATACTCGTACAGTCCATGCAGCGGGAGCTGATCGCAATAGACTTTTCCGTCTAGACTTGGACACCAAGTTCTTCTATTAAGCTTTGTAGTCGCCTACCCATAGGCCTGTCAATCCTGTCCAAATCGTAACAGCTTTTGGCTTAAGCATGCTTTTCAGGGTGCAAGTATGAGGTTCATATGAGCGAAAGGCTCCTGGAGTATAATCATAGTTGACTGGGCTTTCCATCCCTACTAGTATCGAATAGATCTGCCTTACACTGTATTTGGCGAAAGATTCCGGATCTTGGTTCCGTTCAATTTTGTTCGAGTCCATTCCTTTCATTAGTGCTCCCAGAAGCGCGGATGAGCATGAAAAGTTGCATCCTTTGTCGCCTTTGAGAAGATCGTCATGCAACTCGCCGAGTACCTGCATCATTTTACGGACCGATTCCGTTCGTTCTTTCTCGATGGCAGCTGTATCGCAAGTTAGCGTGTTCCCCAGCGTGGAAGATATGAATCCATACTTAATAATTTGGGCGGCAGTGGCAAGCACACGGTCTCAAGAGGGCCCCGACTATCTGTCATAGCCAGCCTCGTCATCTGCTTAAATATATTTTCGGATGAAATACCCACGACACAAAGAGCCAGATAGTCGAGTCTCTGCCGTATACTGTTGGCAGAGAGAGTTGGAGATCCTCTATCCAAATATTGGCAAAAAATTCGGTTATTTCGTGGCAATCGTAGTAGTCTACCAAAACAGAAAATCTTGCCAAAGTTGGGTCAAACAGCTGCAGGTTCATTCATTGATATCTATGAATTGTGGATGAGCCCTAGTACTGGGAACTGACAAACGGCTTTCATGTCTGAATAAGCCAGAGCCAAATTTCCTCCCAGCTCTAGTACTGCGAACCCCCTCACCCTTAAATGGTTTGCACCTGTGGCACTTGGCCTTGACAGACACCTTGCTCCATCGCCGGCAGAGTCATGGCAATATGGAAGGCTAGCGGAGAGCGCAAGTCTTTTCGTATGTGACACGGAAATGGCCCAATGTCAAAGGTTACACGAGGGCAACGGTCACGGGACCTAGGGCAAAGTCCCTCACCGACTTCTTGTATTTAAAGACGTCTTTTGTTTGCGGGGTCCCAAATCATGGCCATCCAAATTTCAAGTTCGGCGTCTAGCAGTTGAAGATCTTGACCGGTTGATTCGGTGTGAATTGCTGTTACCTGAGCCGTTTTCGAATATGGTAGGACACGCGGCTGACGGATTGGTCTTCTGGGGTTTGACTGCCGCAGTACGCCATGAACGGCGTATCAGTGGGTGCCTCGACCGGTAATGGGGCAAACGGCGACTGCTTCTGACAGACTATAGAAGGGAAGATCACGTACGTTTATGAAGCATCTCCGTCATGAAATTCTGAAAGTCCCTGATTGTCGCCAATTTCGGAGGCTGAAGCGGTCGCGGGAAGGAACGGGACGTTGTCGGCGTGTCCAAACTACGCGTCCGGAGTCGCCGATCACGAATCCCCTTCTATTTTGGTCCTACACCGCGTTATTTCTACGACGAAATGTCAAGTCGGTACCAATAATAATAAGGAGCGCCGCAGGGTAACTAGACGTGGGATCGACAGGGCTCGTATGGGTCTACTGTCAGCCAGCTAGGAGAGTCTGGTCTCAAAATTGGCTCTCGGGCTGTACTAGGCTGCAAACCAAAGATGCACGACGCTGACGAAGGAACCCACTTGGACTTCGCTCGACCTCTTAGGGTGCTAGGCGCGAGAGCTGATGAAACCGCATAGACCGTGAGCTGACCTGCCGCTCGGGAATCCCCCACATGGGTATGTATGTACATACGATTGAGAACCTTCAGCAAATGCAATCTGTGAGTCTCGACCTAGATTCCATAGGGTGACGGCAGGAATTTAACCTCGAAGCAGCAGCACTGGTGCCACACGACGACCAAGCAAGATTTGCGGCTGTAGATGCTGCAAGGTCACCCCAGGTTCCGCGGTACGGCATAAAGGCATCGGCATTGAAACATTTGAACTCTATCGGCCACCAGCCTACTATGCCGCTTACCCGTTTATCCAGGGGCACCGTCAATCGCCATATACGAACCGGCTAGAACGGAATCATCTTGGGGCGGCAAACAGGGCCGCGTCACATCAACGGACGGCCCCGTCCGTGCGCGGCAATGGGACCGTGTCTAGACCAGACTCTATAGTATCAATACTCCGTACAACACCAGCCTCGTTCAGACCAGACCTTTAATGCGCTTTGGGCTACCATGCCGCTTGCACATGCCGTATTCCCGAGCCCACCGCTCCTCATGTCAAGTCCGCCTTGTACGAAGAACAGGGAACATGCCTGCGGATTCATCAGAAGTCAGCCGATCGGGCCATCCAGATAGTACCGGATCCTCGTCTCAACTGGGGTTGACCTTCTCCGCAACTCGCGGCTGTTGATGTTCTTCATGAGCGCGTTTGTTGAAACCGAGAACCTTTCTCCTTGAATTAAAGTCAGGCATTGCCCAATTGTGCCGCCAAGACTGAGCCCAGTCTCAAGACATCAGGAGCTCCAAAGTTGAGATTTTGACAACTTCATCAGTTGCCTACTCTCTAGTCACTCGTTTAGTACTAAAAATCCAATCCCGTTTGCAATGCGGCACCACGCATCATCGCGCTACCTTGCGCTTTGGGGGGTTGCTGTTCGTTTTGTAGCCGCCGCTACTACCGTCACCTCCACGGCTCTCATCATCGCCGCCAACGACGCTGATGTCGCAAAAGCAAGCCTTGGCCTGGACGCGTATGGAATCCCTTGGACCAAGGCACTGATTCCTCAGGCCGGCGGATCGCTGCCCGTCCTGAACTCGACCGCCACCAATGGCAACTATGGAAGCATCGTCGTTTTGGACAGCGTTGCCTACGACTATAACGGAACGTACCGCAGCGCCCTGACGACGGATCAATGGAACCAGCTCTACAGTTATCAGTCGGCCTTTCACGTGCGCATGGTTCGACTCGAGGAGTTTCCTGGCCCGGAATTTGGTGAGCACCGCCACTTTTGGGCATGACGATGCCCCGGAATCTCATTGCAATCGTCGACTTCTGCTAATGACGCAATCCAGGCACCACGGCTCTCGGGTCATGCTGCAACAACAACCAAGAGCAGCTTGTCAGCCTCAACAGCAGCGCTCCCTTTCCGGGCGCAAATCTCAAGACGTAGGTGGCCTCTTACTCGCGGTTGTATCGACGCCTTGGTTGCTAATAATCCTGGCATAGTGGCGCGACTGTAAGCACAGTCGGCCTCTGGCACTATCCAGCCCAGATAACCGATTCAAGCATCGCCACGGCGTTTGCTGTCTTTTCGCCTGCTGCTGGATTCTCGACGGAATCTGTTGCGGCCGTCATCAACAACATCGGCGGCCGTGAACAGATGGTGTGGTTCCTTGACTTTGCCCCCGACTGGTCTGCAACGTCTAGCTTCCTACAGCATACGTATATCCATTGGATGACGCGCAGTCTATTTGTTGGTAAACGAAAGGTGTATTTAAACACCCAAGTAGACGACGTCCATCTCGAGACTGAAATGTATCTGCCCGCCAACACGACGTTTAGGCTTCGACCGGGAGACCTAGACGCGCATGTCGCTTGGCAGAGGAGCATAAACAGCCGTCTACCCGCTGGCTCCGATTACCGAATGGAGCTTGGCCACAATGGCAATGGCGATATCGACTCGTCTGTCGACGAGGATACTTCCACTCCGAGAAAGTGCAACCCCAACCAAGCCGTCGATTATGTCCAACCACCCGACCCCCCTCTCGAGTTTGTCAAGCCTCCTGGGACGGGAGTCGATCTGTGGCCCTCGCGCTTTGTAACATATACTTGGTCCAAGGATTGCGCTAGCCTAGATCCCTTGGCTGCATGGTTTCTCACCGCAGCAAATCTTAATTCATTTGCCCACGTTTCTCATACCTTCTCCCACGAGGAACTTAACAACTCTACCTACCACGACGCCACCCGCGAGATCTCATTCAACCAAGCCTGGCTAGCGCAGATGGGCATCTCACAGGCACAGAGATTCTCACCCCAAGGCCTGATCCCCCCGGCAATTACTGGCCTACACAACGCAGACGCCATCAAGGCATGGACAGACAACGGCATCAAGTACGCCGTGGGTGATAATACCCGGCCCATCCTGGTAAATCAGCAGAACCAGTACTGGCCGCTCGCTTCTACTGTAGCCGTCAACGGCGCCACGGGCATCTGGATTATTCCCCGTTGGGCCACCACCATCTACTACAACTGCGATACATCTGATTGCACCCTGCAGGAGTGGAAAGATACCTCAGCGGGTTCCGGTACCTTTAGCAACTTGCTTGATAACGCCCGCACAACCAATAGCCGCTATCTCTTGCGTCTCCAGGCCGACCCGTACATGTTCCACCAAGCAAATCTACGACAGACCGATATGCCGTCCATCACTGTGGGATCACAGACTGGTAAAATGTCCCTGATCATGTCGTGGGTGGAAACCGTGGCCCAGGAGATGGTCCGTCTGACCAACTGGCCCATCACCTCTCTCAAGCACGACGACATTGCGACGTACTTTATCAATCGCATGACCCTGGATGCATGCCAGCCGCATGCGAGCTACACGTATTCCGCGGACGGTACTTCCATCACGGCCATAACTGTCTCCGCTAATAATGCGGCCTGCAGCGTTCCTGTTCCGGTAACCATCCCAAGCGGTACCGTCTCCGCTAGTAGCGGCTCTCCAAAGAGCGACAATTTGGGAAATGAGCCTCCAATCGTGTGGGTTACGTTGTCGGGGTCGCCGGTGACGCTGACCTTGAGCACCCCGGTCAAGCTGGGATAAAAGTGTCTTTTGGGGAATGGCTGAGGCGTGGGTGGGCTTGAGATGGCGATTGTGTAGTATTATGGGGGTTTTAGTTGGGAATTGGTTGACGATCGTGTCACTTTGGCTAGAGTGGCGGTGATTTTACCACTTCTATGTAATTATTAATTTTTTTTGAAGATTTACCGGCAGTCGTGCAGACCTTGTAGTGACGGGCTGCTTTGCTTGTGGACGCAGTTGACCTGTTGATGTTTTGAAGCCTTGTATCCTTGATGGTTTTGCTCCGTTGGCTAGTCACCGCCTCTTAACCGGGAATAGGAGGTGATACGTAAGTTACAAGATATTGCTAATAAATGAATCGTAATTACAGTACTTGATCGCCAAACAATTTGATTATACCGACTGGACCAGCATGACAGTCTGTAGTCTGGCCCGTTTGATGTCCCCCGCCGGGTTCAATAGGCGGCACCCCAATCGGGCAAGGCGTCGACGGTCCTCGCCGCCAGGCCGTTGGCCCGCCCCGCGCTAAACCCCACTGGTAATGTCCAAGGTAACAACATCTGGAATCTGCGGTTTAGTGACAATTCGATGAGCCATGGCCGTGAATTACACCCAGCTGTCCAGTAACCGGCGAGTTTGTAATGTCAGCTAACCATAACATATTTCCCACAATTTCAAACTGTGCACAGATGGAACTTTCTTTAAATTCGCTGTTCCACAAGAACCACGGCGCAACAAAGGAGTACCCATCGCACTTACTGGACATGAGCCTCAACGAGGTTTGAGAGCCCTTACGGGTCAAAGGCATTTTGCGCCATCTAACAAAGTCGGGCAAGCCGGCCACACAGCACCAGGCATATTTCCGGGCGTTGCACAGCAGCGCTGCGGTCACCACAACAGCCACCGAAATGTCCTCCACGCCGCGGCAATGCCGCCAGGACGGCGCCGTCTCGTCGTCCTCGAAGAAAGGGACGCCCTGGCCCAGGGTGGAAAATTCAACGGATGGCGAGTGCTTAGGCGGAAAGATAGGGTGCGCCAGGCGCCCTAGGCCGTCGGCGGCGACGATGGCCATGACTCCGGGCATGCATGCCGGGAACGATAGATGGGACTCATGGGAGTTTAATACTGGATCAAACTCGGCGGCGGCCATGATCCGCTTGCCTTTCGCGTGCCCTCGTTTTATTTGCAGCTCAATGTCAAAAACCGGTTGCTCGAACCAAAACGGGAGGACAATCAAATCGACATCCCATGTGTCGATGCAGAACCTGAGAGCCTGCAGTGAGTGCGTTCAGCTCCTGTCTTTGGATTGGGTTGCGCAACGCACGTACCAAGTAAACCTCCCGGACAATCACTTTTTGGGAAAAGCTGCTGGTCGCCACCTTGGCAGCATAGATCTTGGCGTATTTTGTCAATTGCAACATCAGGTTGACGCTGTGCGTCCCGACGCCCAGCTCGTCGGCGCAGCTCTTGCTCCCGGTGAAGTCGTGGGCTTCCAACTGACCTCGCCTGGCCGCTGCGCTGACCAGCGCCGAGGTTTCGTCTACGCCCGAGCTCAGGATGGCTACCTTGACCAGACGCTCGTTGTCGACTCTGTCAATCTCGCTATCCAGCAGCAGCTGGAGCATGTGCTGGCGTTCGGTCCAGAATTCCGCACTGTATATACAAGGTTAGTTGCGCGGATGCTTCGCTTGCGCCTAGTACTATTTGACCGGACTCACGCTGTTTTTCTTGCAGGCAGATCAAGCGGGGATGTCACGGGCCCGGAATTCGGATACGTCTCGGGCTTCGCCGGTTGGGGGGCGTCGGCACGCGTCGTCGGGACCCGAGGTTGCATGACCGCCGGCGGAGCTCGGGGCGTCTTGTCGGCGTCTGCTTGCTCGTCGATTCTCATGAGCCACATCTGCCGGTCAATATGGATCGACAAGTTTTGAAACCGGGGCATGTTGATCTTCCACGCGTCCTCGGGCCGGAGGTCTCGCCAATTGCGACAACGCTTCTCCAGGCCGTTCGAGAGCCTAGCCACCTCGACGGGCTCGGCGTGGCTTTCCTCCAGCTGCGCAATGAGATTCTTGGTAAAGGTGTGCTCGCCACGCAGGTGAGACTTCTCGTTGTCGCCGACGGATGCTAGCAGCCCTACGCACCCCCGAGATTCCGAGCTCGCGTCTCTGCCTGTCAAGTCCGAGTACGCGGCGCTGTAGGCATGACAGCAGTCGAGGATCAAGAGGACGTCGGCTTCGACGTCGACCATGAGCTTGTGCTGGATGGCCGTCCACGACAGGCCGGGAGATTCTTGGCTGTTACGCCTGCAGCCGCGTCAGAGCCGAAATAAGCTCATGGTGACGAGGGAGACGGCATCACTCACAATTTGAGCACAAGCGACCTTCCGTCCCTTGTGGCATGGCCGCGGTAGTACACAATCAGCAACGTCTTTTCGCCGTCGTTGTCGTCGATAAAATCCCGCAGCTTTCGATCCAAGGCGTTGTACGGTTTGTGTGAGGGAATCTCCCACGTTTCGATTTGGTCGTACTTGTAGTAATGTTCCAGGGTGTCCTTGAGGTCGCTCAATTGTTCCTTGATGGCCGCCTCTGGCTGCGCAACATCTTTCCACGCCAGGAACAGCCCGTGCACGGCCCTGTACGGCTCGCAGCGCATAATCCGTGGCATCTTTTCGTGGCGACGCTGCAGCACGGTATATGAGTCCAGTCGTGGTTTTCCCCAGGAGCGACAGCAGAGCCGTATGTCGTGTCAGCATGCGCGTTTGCAGCCTTGCAAAGACAGCCAATGGCATCCAGAACACGTGAGACCATGGATGCCCAACATTTTCCATGGAGTGGAAATGAAGAGCACCGCGCCGTGGCACAAGAGCATAGCAGCACAACAAACACAGCCCAGACCCGGAGAGTAGGATTATATACAACCAGACCCAACATCAATGGCTAGCAACCAGCACCAGCGATACGCCAAGGCCATGATGACCTGGGGCCAAGGCTACGCCCTCTTTCACCCGGCATCTGACGTCCACGACCAGGCGAAACCCGGCGTGTGCGGGTACATCGACGACAGCGGACTCTGGCAAAGCATCATCGACCTCAACGACAAGGCCGCGCTGAAGCAGGCTGGCCTCGCCGGCCCCGGGGTTACGGTCCTGAAGCCGGCATACTTCGAAACCTGGGGACCCAAATACACGGACACGGTCACGGAATCCAAGGCCAAGGCCGAAGCAGGCGTGGCGGCAGGGATCCCCGTCGATTTCTCCACGCTGCTCGAATACAGGGCCACCTCGGGCTTCGCGGCGGTCCTGCTCTGCGGAGACGCCGTCAAGCTGACGACGTATCCTCACAAAGATCCCTTCCGGAGGTGGGCCAAGGACAACGCGCAAAAGATCCTACAAATGTGCGGCGACGTGGCCGAGCATGGCTTCTACGTCATGACCACCACGTGGTCGGCCCAGGACGTCCACATCAACGCCTGGGCAAACAGGGCCAACTCCGTCACCATCGGGGTAAAGGGGAGCGTGCCGCAGGCCGGCACCGTGAGCGGGTCGGTCCAATATCACCGCGGAGGCGCAGTTGGGGGATGGCATCAACACAAGGCCGTTGTAGGTTTTTTTTTCACCCGCCCCCGTGCTGTTATTAGACCGAGTTGACTGGAAATGACTAGGGCGACGAGAGGAGAATCCTCTTCTTTGGCGGCTTGTACTTCAAGTTCAGGCGCCTTAGGGTGAGAAATCCCTACGGAGAATCCTTCCGAGAACTATCCATGGGTCGCCCGCTGACTGTAATCAACACAGAAAAGCTTCCGCGAAGTAGCCCAGGAAAAGTGGAATGGCACCCTTGGTGATGATGAAGGCGGCATCTTCCTAGTTGAGAACGGGGGCGAGGCTTACGAGGTAGAGTCTCATGTAATTTAACGTATATGATTTTAAAGAGGTAAGTTAGCTTTATAACCTACTTCTTATAAATACATTTTTTAGTATATATGATATTGTATTGTATTTGAAATATAATACAAATACAAAAAATACAATTATATTTACTATATTGGGCAAAGCTCTGGGTAGGACCAGACTATATAAAAGTTCCCCTTTATTCCGTCAACACGCTCGCCATGTGATTCACAGCTATGTAACCAAAGGTCAGTGCCGGACCAAGGGTCGATCCAGCCCCAGGATACGACCTGCCCATGACGCTGGCAGTCGTATTCCCAGCAGCATACAGCCCTTTAATCACAGAGCCATCTGCCCTAAGCACTCTCGCATGCTCGTCGGTAACCAGGCCCCCATTCGTGCCCAAGTCTCCCGGCACAACGGCAACCGCATAAAAGGGGGCCACGGCCACCGGGCCCAAGTTTGGATTTGGCCCTACCTTCCCGTCGCCAAAGTAATTATCATACGCGTTGCTCCCGCGGCCAAAGTCCCAGTCCACCCCCTCCCTCGCCATGGCATTGAATCGAGACACCGTCGCCCGCAGCCCGGCCGGGTCGACGCCAATCTTAGCCGCCAGCGCGCCCAGCGTCTCGGCCTTGTAAATGTACCCCTTTCTCAAACCAGCCTCTGGTTCCTGCCTGGGCCTTAAACAGCCGAGAGAGTATCGTTTACGGTGATTGGCATCTAACACCAGCCATGCAGGGATGGCCTTGACGTCGCGGTTTCTAGCGTACTGCCCGCGACCGCAAGCAGTATAATCGGCAGACTCATTCATGAACCGCGACCCAGAGGAGTCAACAATAATACTAAACGGGCGCGAGCGCTCCTGCAGCGCAAACAAGTTTTTGCCAGCGACGGGATCGACAATAGTTGGTCCCCACCACGCGCCGTCCATAAGGGCCGTGGCGGCGCCGAGTCTCACGCCCGCCCGGATGGCGTCGCCCGTGTCGCCCTCAGGCGTGCTGGTCCATGCCGTGCTGGCCGGCGCCGGGCCGTACTCCTCCCTCATGGAGCGGTTGTGCGCGAACCCCCCCGCGCAGAGGAGGACGCCGCGTCGGGCTCGGATACTCTGGATCCGGCCGTTTTGCTGCACAGTGGCCCCGACGACGGCCCCGTCTTGCTGCTGTATCATGTCGACGAGGGCGGTGTTGCGGCGGATGGCAAGACTACGCTGCTGATTTAGATGGAGAAGCTGCGCGACGAGAGAGAGCCCCATTGTTGCTGGCTCTTGGCCGACTGCCTTGCGCCATAGTATTCTGCATTGGACCTTGAGCGCTTGGGCGAAATCGCGGGCAGATGAGCCCATTTTTGTGAGACTGGCGAATTCGTCTGTGAAACAGGGCGGTGGCTGTAGGGGTCTTGTGCGGACAAGTGTTTGCCATTGATTCAGCTTGTTGAGATTAAAGATGCCGGGCTCGATGGTTCTGCCGAATTTGGCGAATGCGCCTGGTGTTTTGGGGTAGTAGTCGGGGCATCCTTTGCTGAGTCTGCAGCTGAAGCCCTGATGCCTCAGAAAGTCGACCATGAATGGTGCTTGTTCCAGATACGCGAGTTTGCGCTGCGGCGTCGACGCTGGTCCAACGTGCCCAATGAGGGTTTCCATGTACGCCAGCGCGTCGGCTTTGCTGTCTCGGATGCCGTGCTCTTTGGCGAGCGGGCTCTGAGGAATCCATAATGCACCCCCGGAGTATGCTGAACTCCCGCCAATTTTGCCATTCTTCTCAACGACTAGAGGTTCGAGGCCATGGAAGTGCGCGCGCAAGGATGCCGTCAAGCCGGCGGCGCCGCTCCCAACAATCAGCACGTCGACTTCGGAATCAAACGGCGTCTGGTGGGGAGATTGTTGAGACGGCGCTGCAAAGAACCGGTTCAAGAGGCGATTCATCTCGACTTTTGTTTATCGGGCTGCGTGCCGAACAATTCATGGGAGCGGTCGGACATGTGCGGAGGATGACTTTGTGCTTGCTGGCGGGAGTCGTGAGATTTCTAGCTTGTCTCAGCATGCTTGACTCAACAGCTGCCGGGGCTTGGCATACTTGATTGACAACGATGGCGAGTTATACAATGGTGAGGTTGAAGAGACAGAGGCCGGGCCGGCCGACCCCAAGATGACAGCAGGTTCCCCCGCAAATCTTGTGGACACCAAGGCGTCGATGCAAGAATCTGCGGGCGCATTGAGTACATCGATTGCCAATCAACGCCGAGAATTTCTGGGGAAACTGCGTATATCGCATATCGTATGATCGGTAGTGTGATGGACTCCATTTTCGTTTACCCGCACTTGAGCATCTCCCCACGCTCCCACCACAGTCAGTCAGCAATTTTGTATCTTCACATCCCCCCCAGACTGTGAGTCGTCGGCAAGATGTCGCTTAACGTATAACGGCGAGTGGCCGGTCATTAAAATGGGATGGATACATACACCAACTTGACTCCTTTTAAATAACATTGAACATTAAATTTAGTCTGGTGGATACCAAGATCGTGTGGGGAACGGCTCTTGGCTTCTCGGCACGATCCGATCTGATGGGAGAACGGTGGGTTTCTTGGCACTTAGAATGGCTCGTGGGGAGCATCTTGACTGGAGCTTTCGCCATGGAAATTTCGGCGCAAAACAAGCAACACATCTCTCGATAATAAGATGATACGTCTCTCCAATATGTATCGTATTCATTATAAAAAATATATGCAGAAGCACTTCAAAGTGGATGTCACATACTCAGAAAGCCATGTTAGAGAGCTAGACTCGCCCACATCTGTCATTCAATACCACCTCGAGTCTTGACAATGGCTGTTGCGAGCTTTTGTCAAGGGACATCAACCCAATACCAGAGGGAATGGCTCAAATATGTCTAATTTCCGCCCTCGAATCTACCTTTGCGTCTTCAATAGTCGGACTAGTTTCCTGCTTGATAGCGACCTCCAATGCTGCCTTTCTCCTCGGCCTGTCCCGAAACGTTAGCCGTGTACACGACAGCCAGGGCTGAGTAAGCCACGAACTTGAGGTATTTCACGTCAACGGCACGAAGAATCATGGCCAGGATAATGACGAGGGCGCACACTGCAATGGACGACTGCCAGCCGTATTTATCTGCAAGTATATCAGCAACACCGTCGGCAGCGGCTAAACCACGCCATTCTCACAATATGGTGCCTGGCTGGCGGGCCAGACGAGAACTTGGCTCCATGCCGAAATGGAATAGTAGCCAGCCAGGGTGGCGATCAACTC